TTCCTGTAAGTTCCAGCACTTGGGAGCTGAGGGAAGGTGATTTGAAGATTACCGGGGAGGGGGAGGGGGGCAGTGAGCCAGAGAGACAGAGCGACACACACATACACAGAGACAGAGATAAAGAGAGATAGAGTAAGAGAGAAAGAGACAGAGAAACAGATAGAGAGGAGAGTTTTGTTGTTGTTATTATTCTTTAATAAAAATCTTCCAGCAAGTTTGAAATCGGAGGTTATTAACATGGAGCAAGATGTTGTCAAAAAGATACCCTAGGAGAAACTGGTTCATTGACTCTCCACCCTTTGTAGCCTGGTAATGCGTTTTATGGGCTACATGGAGATGGGAGGCTGTGAGGTGTGCACTGAGGCAATCATAAAATGCACTGATTAAACGAAGCTTGATCACTCGCAAGTTTATTAAAAGTGAGATTGCTGCTACCGGGACAGAAAACCATGAAGAAAATTATTAGACCCTTGAGACTGTTGGCATTCTACAAGCAAGGTAAACTGAGGCACTGGAAGGAATCCATCGAAAGTGAGCGGGTGTAGCAGACACTAGTTTCCACGTTCACGTTCACAGGGCCGGCCGGGCTCACGGTCTTCCGGCCAGGTGGTCTAGCTTTCCAGTTTATTTTCCTTTGCTTCTTCCGTTTTGTTTTTAAGAGCAATTTGAAGTGGAGTGGCTGCTGTTTGCCTGAAACTTTCAGGCAAACTGCCAACGTTTTTCTTCACGAATTAGAACTGGCAAAAGCCAGAAGCCTGCTGGTTCTGCTTTGGTCCTGTGTCACATTTCCTCCCGCGGCTTTAGATTGTCTCTGCCTGATCTTTTGCCTTCAGCCTCTGCAACATATGCATTGAAATCCCAGGCCTTTGCACCGTGTAGGTATGCAAGGGCTTCTAATAATGATGCAGTTCCAAAGAATTCCAGGAAACGGAGGTAGAAGGAGATCCAGGAGAACGCTGCAAAAACCCGTGAAATTTCAGGGCTGGAAAACATCTGAGACAATAGATTTTCCCTCTACTGCAGCTCATCTGTCCACCCGGCTCTCCCTATTCTCCCCTCCCCAGTCAAGAAGCTTGCCTTCCGAGCCGGAGTTGCCCTGTCTCCAGTCAAAGATTCCCAGTGTTCCTTAAACTGGTCAAAGGATTTGAAATAAACAAACTGAGACATACCACTGGAGGACAGTTAAAGGGAAACAGAACGTCCCTTCAGTCAAAATCTCGGCAGTGTCTGGGCACACGGCTTCATGACACATGACAGGTAGGAGATGGCATTTCTTATAGCTAGTCAAAAATAAAATCCGTGCTGAGTGTGGACTGCCTTGGAAAAGAAAGGAACACACACACGCACACGTACACACACACGCACACACACACACACACACACACACACACACACACACACACGCACGCACGCACGCACGCACGCACGCACACACACATTCCACACAGGCACAAAGACAATACCAATGTCTATTTCAGAGCTACTGGACCTGGAATCCTTAACACAGTGTCAGTTAGAAGTGGGAAGAGTCTTGGGGGTAGCAATTGTTATTTCTTAGAAATGTGGAATAAGGAACACGTTAAGAAGGGGGAAATCCCTTTGTCACTTTGCTAAACACAGTTTAGCACATTGTATCATTTGCTGAACAATAACTTCTCTTTGCTAGGGGGCCGGGTGCATGAGATTTCCACTGGACAGATGATTTTGCTCCCTTCAGTAGATTACAGAAAGATGTTTATGTGTTGAATGAAGAAATTTAATGAACATATGTTAACATACAAACTATAATCACTCAGCTAGTGATGTCTCCAGTGCAGTACAAGAAGTTTTCATGAAAGGACAATGTGTTAAAATGATGTCCACTATCCTAAAACAGGAAGTTCTGAGGGTGGAAGAAACCACAGAGCTCCTCAGTTCTCACCTCTGTTTGAGTAGTAGTCTTAACTTTTCATTTTTCTGTTTTACCTCTTAGCTTTCAAACACACACACACACACACACACACACACACACACACCTTATTTTTAGTTTTTCTTTTCTTTTTTTCTTTTTGATAGAAGTTGCCCCAAAAGAAACAGTCTCAGCTTGAGGTGGTGCCTGTCACTGCCTTCCCTCACATGCCTGGTAATTAAACTCTGACTGATTTATTGACTGACAGCCAACAAATCCCAACTCGGTTTTTATGATATACACACTTCTTAGGGCTAAATTCGCCCAACCGACGACCCAGTCCAAAGGAGGGAAGGACGGATGAGGGAAGGGGAGGAGGGATGAGGGGAGGGGAGGAGGGCAAAGTCCATGAAAACACACAGGGAAATCAGCCTTCCTCAGTGGAAAGGGAAAGAAAAAAAAGAGTGATGGGGTAGAAAGGACCACGGAAGGGAGGGGTGGGGGAGGGCAGAAGAGAGGAAGCAAGAATGGGAAAAACTCAGGGCAACATCTTTTTCAGATCCAGAGTTCTGGGCGGGCAGCAAAGCTGGTAAACATCATTTCTTCAGCTCTCCTCCCAGAGTCATTGGAAGCGCCTCACGTACAAAGGCGCTCTGAAGGGGAACACGAGACGAGCTTGCAGCTAATATTACAGTCGAGTTGCAATTTTACCTAAGGGAAAGCAGCTTTATTAAAAGTCATGACTGAATTGCATGACAGGTGCCAATATTCTGCACCCTGACAGATGTGTCAGCTTGCGAATGCCATTTCCTGTCAGCCGTCCCTGGATGGAGCTCCCCGCAGCACCATTTGTCTCTCTTCCAGGGAGATCACACATGCCCGCCGTTTGCCTCCAAGCTGCACCGCGCCGCTTGATATGTGGAATCCTCACAATGAGACTTATTAAAAGACAGTCCATTATTTTTATTTAGAGCATTTCCAAAACAAGCAGAGTGTGCGCACACAGATAATTTAAAAACCTCATGGCAGGTCATCTCCAGGCCAGTGTGGCTCAATTTGAAATGCATAAAATTGTGGCATCTCCTGTCTCACCCACAGCCACAGCCGCACACGTGCTCATGTGCGTGCACAACACACACACACACACACACACACACACACACACACACACACACACACACACACCGCAGCTCTCAGAGGCTGAATTTGAGTGACATTTAACCCTTGACTAATAGCCCTGGCAGAGCGACATGCTGGTTTTCTCTAAACCAGGGAGGGCTGTTTTCAGCATGAAGGATGAGCCCTGCTCCATCTCTCCCTAAATCTTTTTTCTTTTCTTCTTCCTTCCCCCTCTCACTCCTTGCATCCTTCTGGGTCCTTACAGGTGGGCTTTCTCGCTGCAACCATAGATATAAATACTCATGATTGGCTGTATTTATGGGGCCTTTTCAGCCTTCTGTGGGTTCAAATACAAAGAAAAATGGTCTCTCTTGCCGTGCCTGGTCTGATCCGCCAGAGAAGCCATGGCAGACCCTCTCTGAACTCTGACGGAAAAGGATTCCTAGTGGATGTAGTAGGAGAGTTCTGGCTGAAAGAGGACGTTGGCAGCTGTGGCAGGTGGCGGCTTCCGTCACTGGGATCACGGAGGGAAGCACAGGAGAAAACAGCATTCGGGCTGCTGCGCTACATACCATGGTGGAGCCCAGATCTGCTGGCGCTGTCACATCTTTAGGTGGGCCAGGAAGTGGCCTCCTTGTTCCTTTAGCTTACAGAATGACATGACAATGAAATCCTAGCATCAACTTCCACAGCTTTATTCCAGCACATGTAGAGGTGTTCAGCCTCCTCAAGACAGAGGTGATGTGTGGTAGGCAGACTCGCCCTGTGTACTGGGTTCTGGGGAACACAGTGCATTGGAGAAAGAAGTGTTTCTGGTCAAACCAGGCCTGATACACACACCTCTGCAGACACCCAGTAGAGTGGCTGGGGGAAGTTTCCCATGGCCTGTGATTCTGTGTTCATAGATTTCTGGAGCAGCTAGTCTATTATTCCACGAGACCCCAACAATTGTAGCAATGATGAACAGAAAGATCCTCTGGCCTAGGGCTCTCGTCCTAAAACAGCGCATGGGCCTAAGCATGGTCATTAAGAGCAATAATAAAGAGGTCCACAACGTCCACAGGCCCTGGAACTGAAGATGCATCTGGAAAATTTTCTTGCCTTGCTGTGCACTTGTTGAGTGTCTGCTAAGGCGGAGTGCTGAGGGACTTGCAGCCTCAAAGAGGACACCACGATTGTTGAACTAGTAAGGGTACCTTCCATGGAATGACTAATCTTCATCATGAACTTGGCACATATGTGAAGAGGGACCCTCAGCTCCATCAGACTGGCCTGGGAGAATGTCTGGAGGAGCATTTTCTTGTCGCGAATTGATGTAGGAGGGCCCAGCTCACTATGGGCAGTACTATCCTTACGCTGACCAGGTTATATAAGAAAGGAAGCTGAACCAAAACCTGGGGTCAAGCCAGGAAGTATTGTTGCTCTATGGCTTTGGCTTCAGTTCTTGCTCAAATCCCTGCCCTGACTTTCTTTCAGAGTGTGACCTGGAAGTATAAGCCAAATAAACCATTTCTCCCCCTAGTGGCATTTTGTCTGGTGTTTATGACAGCCTCAGAAGGCAGACTAGAATATCCTCCATTGTTTTTCTTAATAGTTACTCTATTTACATGCGGCTTCTGCCAGACCTGTTACATAACTGTTCCATATTTATTCTGCCAGGGAGTCTGTTTCTCTGCTCTTCTCATCATTCTTACCGCACAGCCGTGATGAATCTATTCTCTACTTTTCAGTCTGGCCAATTATTGCAGCATCTCATTACCTCTTCACTCCTCCCTACTTGTGGCTTAACTTCTGTGGGCAGTTTCTAGGAAGTTTACAGCAGATCCTTTGCTGCCCGGGGCCGTGGTTGCACTTCCGGGGATGCATTCTCACATTAGCCGCTGCTTACTGAGGTCACCGGGGAAGAAAACTGCACAAAGCAGCGACCCCCACCTTTGTGTGAAGCGACCACCTTGTGTACGTCCTACCTCCCCTTGCAGCCCCGCTCGTGTACCTTTGGAAGTCCCCTCTCTTGCCCTCGCCACGTCTCTTCTCTGGGCTGTTTTCAAACGCCATGCCTCTCACACCACATCCAACAGGTTACCGCTCTGCTGTGCCATGTCAGCAAGCTCCCAGAGGCAAGGTCCATGTCTATTTAAAAAAAAATTTTTTTAAATATTAAAAAATATAGAGAAGACCTTGTGAGGTTTTGTCAACATTCCCCAACATGCCAGAATCTCCCCACCTCCTTGCCATGCCCAAGCATGAAGTCCACGGCCTTGTAATGACTTCTCAGTGAATTCTTACCCACGGGAGCCATGGCAATTCTCTAGAACTTAGTCTCTGAGTGGAAATTTCAGTTTCCACGTGAAGACTTTCCACTGTCCCCTAATTATATCTCCCCTTTTCTTTTTAAAAACATATTTGTAGTTTGTTATGAGTGTTTGCCTGCATGTGTACATACATGTGTACCATGTACAGGCCTGATGCCCCTGGAGGTCAGAAGCGGGCATCAGAGTTACAGATGGTTGTGAGATGTCATGTGGGGGCTGGAAACAAACCTGCTTCCTCCGCAAGGGCAGCAAGTACTCTTGATCACTAAGTTATCCCTCTAATCCCAAGCCTTTTCATCTTAAAATCTTCATTTCTCTCTTTATCAGGGTGTTAGCTTCTGCTTTATAATAGAGTTATGTGGGCACATGTTTGATTGTGCTGCTGGATGTAAAATACTGGAAGGTTCATCGTAACCCTTCCGTCTCTCTTGGCTCGCAGCACAACGGTACATCACCTGTCCCACGGCAGGTACACAGCACACCTAGTGGATGAGTGAATTCTTGAACCAATTGCCTCATTGAAAACAGGGCATTAACATTCCACATTACAGCAAGTGGGACCGCAATTTTTTCCCACTAAATCCCTCTCCTAAAGAAGAGAGAAAAGGTCTTAACTCATTCTCTGCAGCACCTTTCCTAGACTTTCAACAGATCCAAGTCTTTAATTATCCCCAAGTTCCTCCTTTGAGCAATGTGTGAGTACCTAGACCATCAGAGTTATGTAGTTGAAAATCTTAAAGAAAACAACCAATCTAAAAAAGCACTGAAGGAGCGGATCCCCGGGCTAACAGAGGTACACACCGTGGGCAGCCCTGTGGGCTAATTACAAGGGAGTTGTCAAGCAAAGAATTTATCTGAAAAGCTTATGGGCCATTCTGACAGGCTGGAAGCGTGTGAGGACTTACGCTCAGTTTAGCTCACTCAAGCCAATGGATACTATGAGCCAGACAGGCGCCTGGGACCCCACTAAACATTGTGACCGAAAGCGAATGATTAACAGTATTTTTGAGCTCCTTCAGGAAGTCATTTTATTCATATTTCAAGAACCACAGGGCATTCAGAATCCACATTCTCTTCTTTCTGTAAGATTTATTCCTTGGCTCTATTTTTAAATCACCTAAAATACTTTTAACTGCTAAAAATGTCTCCTTGCAGGTCACTCACAGAGCTGCATTGGTCTGAAGTTTCTTAGAAGGGAGGAGCTTCGGAACACCCCGACACTTCCATCTCCCACCCAACTTTTCATTTTTCCTCTCCTCCTTCTCCTTCAGAATTTTGAGGAGTCGGTTCTCTTTCTTCTCTCAGAACTGAGAATCCCCATCTGTGTCTCTGTCACAGATGGTCAGGAGGAAGAAGCAATAAGTGGATAAAATTATCTAAAAAGGGAAAAGGTTATCTTCCCTCTGATTGTGTGAGACTTGTGTTCATGAACTAATTCCTAGATCTTATTCAATGTTTCTAACATTCTGTGCCAAAAGGTTGGACAAGAGAGAGGCGTGGGAGGAGGGAAGGAGAAAAGGCGGGGAAGAGGGAGCGGGAGAAGGAGGGAGGCAGAGAGAGACAGAGAGAGGCATGTCTGCCCAGGCCCACGAGGTAATCCGGCCCCTCTTGAGGGCCTTCCTACTGAGGACGGGCACAAACGCAGTTGCGTCTGCTCACAGAAATCTTCCGCCTCAGTCTCAGCTCTGACGTGGTGATCATGCGTTAGCAACTGTTGATGGAGCCGCTGCCGTACTAGCTTTCACTGCTGAGCGCAGACCCACCATTTATCATCAAATCAAACGGTTCCGTTGCTTCAGCACTGTTCGTTCCTAGAGGCCCCAGTTGTTACCCCAAAGCCAACAAAAAGAACCATTTTTGCCCAGGTCGTTATTCCTTTGAACTGCGTCTGTTGGTAAACATCTTTCGCGCTGACTTTGTGAAGTTATAACATATCTAGCACCGTGTTTGCCAACCGAGTTGGCAAAAAGCCGAAGCCTGAGTAATTCTCACACTTAGTTTTGAAAGGAGAAAGTTTGAAAGTTGAACGCAGCACCCCTTCCCCACCGCCGAAAGGCTACAGCACTGTGCTCGGTTATGACGCAGGCTCCTTTCATTTGGAAGGCTTAGCTGCCCCCCCCACTCCTCAGCCTACCCCCATTCCTGGAGGCTTCATCTAGAGCATAGCTCCATAGACTGTGGACTGTGATCCCCAAAGGGGTTTGCAGCTCAATATGGGGGTAGCTACACATTTGAAAACATTGAAAGATTTCTGACTTTGTGCTGAACAAAAATTAGTTCAAATTCAAATGCCTAATAAGCCTGAGGCATTTGTGTGTGTGTGTGTGTGTGTGTGTGTGTGTGTGTGTGTGTGTGTGTGTGTGTGTTACGTACATCTCACAACTTCACTGCTGCCTTGGGTCTAAATACAAAATGTATGTCTGCACTTTGTGCTGTACATACCTCCACAACATGAAATATCAGCAAAGCCTGCCTGAAATGCCTAGGCTCAGAATCAAGACTCTGATGTGTCATGAATCGTATATGTACTGTACTCACAGTCTGCTCTTCTAGAAACATAATGCTTTAATTACCCTAAATAAAAACAATAATTTTTCATTTTTTTTATCAGTTCTCAGCATATGAGCATCAAGTTGGACCATATTTGAAAGTTTGATTTTAAGGACTGCTATTTTAATTGCTGGTTTGAGTTCCATTTTTTAAAAGTTAAGTGGAGTTCGCCTTGGGATTAGGCCAGAATTCCGAACAGTTTATGAAGTGATCCTAAATACACTTCTGCCATTTTGTGAAGTGTCACTCTCAGCGTTGAGAGTTATAAGATGAAAATATTGATCAAGGAGCTGGAGAGAGGACTCTTGCAGTGAGCACTCTTAACCACTGAGTCATCTCTCTAGCCAAATTTAATTCTTTGTAAGAAAGTTGACAAGCACATCCATCTCAGCAGTATGTGCGCTAGTTTGCTTTCTGTTGCTGTGTTAAAGACCACGACCAGAAGCATCCTGGGAAGGAAAGGGTCTACTTCACTTGGCAGCTTATCTTCCACCATAAAGGAAAGTCAGGGCAAGAACCTAGAGGCAGGAACTGAAGCAGAGCCCATGGAGGAACTGTTTGCTGGCTTGTTCCCCATGGCTTGCTTAAATTTTTTCTTTACACAACCATTGACCATCTGTTCAGAGGAGGCACTGCCCACTGAGGCCAGGCCCTCCCACATCAGTCATGAATCGAGAAAAAATCCCTGTAGACTTGCCTACACCATGATCCAGATCTTTTCTCAGTTGAGGTTCCCTTTTCCCAGATGACCCTAGGTTGTATCAAGCTAACAAAAAAACTAACCAGAATAATATGCAAATTTGATTTTACCTTAGTAAGTTATAAAATTATATGTATACTTGTATTGGCTAGTTTAATGGCAACTTGACCACAAACTAGAATTATATGAAAGGAGAGAACCTCAGTTCAGAAAATGTTTCCCCAAGACCCAGCTGTAAGGCATTTTCTTAATTAGTGATCAATGGAGGAGGGCCCAGCCCATGGTATATGGTGCCATCCTTGGGGTTGTGGTCCTGGGTTCTATAAGAAAGCAGGCTGAACAAGACATGATGAGCAAGCCTGTAAGCAACACCCTCCATGGCCTCTGCATCAGCTCCTGCCTTCAGATTCCTGTCCTGTTTGAGTTCCTGTCCTGACTTCCCCCAATGATGAACAGTGATATGGGAGTGTAAGCCAAATAAATGCTTTCTTTTCTAACTTGCTTTTGGTCATGGTGTTTTATCACAACAACAGTAACCCTGGCTAGGACAATTATTTTACAGTGAATTTCTTTATAATTTATTTTGAGTAATTTTTACTTGCATACCTATTTTTTAGACCTTTGTACATAGAGTCATGGGAAATTTTCTTGGATGAACAAGAATTGTGAGTGGAAAAGGCTGAAAGCATGCATGCTTTTGAAGACAGGAATGGAAGATTCCCTGTGCATAATTTTCTCTTCCAGTAGAAATGAAGTCGGAATCTGTCCTGAATGCACTTGGTGGGGAAAAAAGAGTTTCATGGTGCCTTCATTGGAAAAAAAATTTCCTTACTTAATAATTATGGAGGCTAGGTAAGCCAGTCCACATGGGTGTATACTCATATTTCTGCAGATGTGCGCGTATGTTTGAACCCATGGTTTCTTTGACACATCTGGACTCATGAAGAGGAAACATCATCACTCCATATTATGATGAAGAACTCCAAATGGAGCAGCCTTGACTGGCGAAGAAGTCTCCAGATCCTCACTGGTCACACCGAGACGCCTCTAGGTTCAGTGGCCCTGGGAGATGCCATGTTTGAGGAAAGGACAAATGAATCCTCTGCAGTCTTTCTTGGAGCACCTTCTTGGAGAGTTACGATGTGAAGTTCTTCATAGTTAATCGTGGTCTTCTGCAAGAACTTTCTTAGTCTAGAATTTCTTCTTTTATGTCAGCTACTTTGGTTACCTGCAAAACCCATAGTGGAAGCCATGAGATCCACAACGTAAAGTAACGAGAAGGAAGTGGGACTATTCGTGGGTGGTAAAGTAGACAGTGTCAGACCAATGTCCTTCCCAGTGTGTCTTGATCTTGGGTCTTCAGAGATGCCACATAACAGAATATCAGTGGCCTTCAACCCTAGCCTTGTGGTCTGTGGAGAAACAGTGCAGAGAAAACTGAACTGAAGAGTAAGCAAGTAGATTAAGTGAAGTTTGAGCTAAACTAATGCTCTCCAGGTACCCAAGGAGTGCTTCGAGGGTGGGTTATGTCATGATAAGTAGAAAACTGCATTGTTGGATAAGGGCTT